AGTTACGGACGAGAAAGGATTCTCAAGAGAGGGGACCTTCAATCCTCGTAACAGCCACTACTGGGCGGAGCACAATCCTCATGAAACGTTTACGCGAGGATACCAGGACAAGTTTTATTTAAACGTTTGGGCTGGCATCCTGGGGGACAACCTACTGGGGCCTTACATCCTCCCTCCGCGTCTAAATGCCCATAATTACCTGATTTTCCTGCGCGAGGTGCTACCAGAACTTTTAATGGATGTTCCAGTGAACTTGTACTGGGACCACTGGTTCCAGCACCATGGGTGCCCTGCTCACTACGGGCGGCAGGTGAGGGAACACTTGGACCAAACCTATCCGGACAGATGGATCGGCCGTGGAGGTGCGGTGGAGTGGCCTGCCCGCTCGCCCGACATCACCCAATTAGATTTTTACTTGTGGGGTGTGATGGAAGCGCACGTCTACGAGACTCCCGTCGAATCCGAAGAGGACTTAATTGCGCGCGTCGTCATGGCCGGAGAGGCTGTTCGCCAGGACATAGGAGTCTTCACGCGAGTTCGAGGGGAGTGGTTGGCTAGATGTAGGAAGTGCATTGAGAACAACGGTGGCCACGTTGAACACTTGTAAACGTTATTGCTTTTGACTGTCGTTTTCCCTCCTTCCCTCCCATGTCGCTTTCCTCGCGCTAACTCGCTCTGCATCGCTCCGCGCGAAACGTCGGTCGGTTGGGTTGCCTACATACAGGCGTGAAATTCCAGAAGATAAATTTGGTTCTGGCGCCCTTATTTTGGATTTCCGACCCCAAGTGTCCTATATGAAAAGACTTCCCCTAGGCACCCCCTATACGCTCCCAAACGGTGGCAGGTACTATAGGAATCACCCTGTATACCTATGGTGTAAATTTCAGGAATATGAAGGCGTAAGGGAAATAACCACAACTGCTGTGATAGGGATTATCATAGTAGGAATTGTTCATTTTGGACTACTTGTGTTCTTTTTCGTATCTATAATAGTATTATGCGTAAAAGTGAAAAAAATGCGTAAAATTCTTGATTCGCATACTTCTTTGTTACAGTAAGTAATAATATCGTACTACCTTTTCGCCTAATTTTTGAACGTACAATAAATCAAATTTTAAATTAGATTTAGACTACATGAGGGAACACAGCATCCCGAAGACGAGTTGGCAAAGAGATATGCAATGTCTATCCAACCATCTCGAACACAACATTCAGAATTGAGCAACAATCAATATCCTTATAATCCAAATTTCGCTTCAAATCAGTCACATAATTTAAGACGAGAAACGGAAACTGAGTATGGTAAACCGATCCATTTACCTCGAGCACAACATCCAGAATTAAAGAACAGTCAATATCCTTCCAATTCAAATATTCCTCCAAAGCAGGCACATAATTTAAAAGGGGAAACGGATACGGAGTATGGTAAACATGGACCTTCAATGGTAATGATGCATTACCCTAAACCTAAACGAACGTATGTAAAATTTCTGGCTTATGTAATAATGTGTCATTTGTCTTTTTAGGAACGGACATTATCACTAGTATATCACTACTATAATAAAAATTATAAACTATCCATAAATTTGATAAATTGTACTATTGTAATCTACTCTTAATTTCTTAAATTTTAGTTAGATATGGTATGGCCATTTCAGCTAGGCCTGAGTTCAAATGACAATTCTCCTACAACTTTCAATTAGATAGTTAGGTAAGGTACGTGTGTAGGTGTAGTATTAATAATAAATCATTTATTTTATTATTACTAGCGCAACTCCGCAGGTTACGCCTGCCTCGTCTTGTATGCTTTAACGACTGTTTATAACTCTTTATTTCTTCACCTTATTACTTTTAGGTGTATGTTGTCTATGGGTTTGATATTTCAATTTTTCAAATTGTTATTATTGAATAAGTTACTTCAATGTTATTATTTATTGTATCACTTTTCAACCAAAAGTGCGGAAAAAGTATGGACTACCCAAATAATTTGGTCTTCTTCAGGTTTTATAAGAACACGTTAATTTAGTTTTCTTTTGTATTCTCTGTGTACTATGTCACGTGTTTTATCATTCATTTAAGGGACTAAAGTGCCCGCAACGAGGGACAAAAGGGACAGTACACACTAAAATATCAAACCTATACCTATGTACATTTTGGTTCTTGCACATATTTTATATTTATTATACCTACCGTTTTCCATATATCTTTTTGATAAACTACGTTTCGGGCAACAATTTGCACCCTCGGGATTAAAAAGCACACTTTAGTTCCTTCTTATATACGGGGTGTCAATTTTAAAACTCACTCATAACGTCATTCTGGTTCCCCTCGATACTCCCGAAACGGTTTTGCGCGATTTTCAATTTTTTCTTTAGTTTGGAAAATATGACGGACTGCAAGTTTTAAAATTGACACCCTGTATAGTATATAATATACTATAACATTCTCATAGAATTTATTTGGTTTTTTATTGTCATTTGTTAAAAATTGACGTAAACGCCGTTTCGATTAAATGATCATATGGCCTGTGATAGGTACATCATTGGAAAGCTCCTGGATTTTTTTGCGGTTTTATCGCGCCGTCTTGGTCTCAAATGGCTACCGTTCAAGCGACTCCCTTGGTCTATTTAAAAATCAATTTGAGTTAGAACACAAGACAATAAAATCTTACTTTTCAATTCTGACGTTTTTGTTTGCTAAATTAGTTTGGCATTCGACAGGAGAGTCAATTTATGATCATTTTCACTCGGTACTAATAAATAGTTATTCATTTATTATTTCCAGTAGTATGGTTATACCTAACCGATAATGTAGCGAGTGTCTCAGACGTCGGGGCGCCAGCAGCCGCCATCGAGACGCCGGAAAAGATTAGTCACCGGCGATAAAGAAAACAACAAATTCTCGATGATGTCGATCTGTCTGTCGGTCTATCGGTCCGTCTGTACTCCCATTTCCGGATAAACGGCAGAGCCGATTGAAACAAAATTCCGGTCCGGGCATTGTTTAAATACTATGGTCCGGGTTTTACGTTTGGTGAGGTTGAACTAATTTCATTGTTTATCGATCGTTTATCTTCTGCCGAAAACCGATTAGTATCCGGTCGAATCCCTCAATCGCCGCTCTGAAGGAATGGGCGAAATGTGCGGCGGGAGAGTTTGTTTGTCGCGATGCTAGCGTTTGATGAAAAAATCGGCACTGTTATTCAAAAACTATGGTATTTAGAAGATAACTTTTAACATAGTATCTTTAATTGTAAACGATAAGAATGATTTTTTCACTCGGACCGTTCCAATTAATTACTTATTATAATCTATAGATAATGCCAGATTACGAATTACACTACGGATAGCGACAGAACTGGAAAGATTAAGTATGTTCCTACACTCTTCGGAGACATTTAAATATTTTGGAGATTAGATAAAACATCGGTATTCATCAAGGTATTATCAGTATCATCCAGAACGTCGTAAAGTGGTATTTGTTGCAACAAAAAATGGTAAAAAATAATGAAAAATCATTTTAATATATGTTGTACATTTCAGACTACCGAAGAAGAGGTAACTGAAATAGCCTCAAATTTTATGGTAGGCTTTTTCATTGGACTAGCTGTTCTTGTTGGACTACTTATATTCTTTTTGATATCTATAATAGTACTATGCGTAAAAGTGAGAAATTTGCGTAAGGTTGTTGATTCGCACGCTTCTTTGTTACAGTAAGTAAATATCGTACTACCTTTTCGTCAAGAGCCAATTTTTGAACGTAGGTACAATAAATCAAATCTTAACTTAGTTTTAGACCACATGAGGGAACACAGCATCACGAAGACGAGTTAGCTAAGAGATATGCATTGCCGATCCAACTACCTCGAGCGCAACATTCAGAATTGAGGAACAATCAATATCCTTCAAATCCAAATTTCCCTCCAAATCAGTCAGATAATTTAAAAGGAGAAATGGGATTGGAGTATGGTAAACATGGACCATCAATGGTAATGATGCATTACCCTAAACCGAAACGAACGTATGTACAATTTCTAACTTATGTAATAATGTCTCATTTATCTTTTTAGGAACGGACATTATCACTAGTCAATCAAGTAGTTATTATGTTGTTCACCAGACCATCACAATAGAAATTAAACTATACCTAGGTAAATTTACTAGGTGGTATATTTCTATTGTAATCTCGTACTTAAATTTAAATTTCAGTTTTGATTTTTTGAGTGAAAAGCTTTAATATAGTAGGCAGATAGTTAGATAAGACGGATGTAGGTGTAGTATTAGTAATAAAGCATTTATTAACGAGCTCCTAGCGAGTTTATAATTTTGCGGTGTCTGTCCGTCTGTCCGTCCGTTAGCACGATAACTCATAAACGAATGGACCGATTACGATGAAATTTGCTTTATCAAATTTGTAGATCGGAGTTCGTGAATTGGTAATGTAACCCAAAAAATAAGGAAGGCCTTTTTGACATCTCCGTAAGTTATGAACCGAATTGTCTGAAATTCAATATGCGTATAGCTTTAGCCATATAAAACACAATTCTAAAAGTTGAGCCTAATCCATCAACATTCACAGTGCCCTTTTCGCATCTCGACCATTTACAAACCGGATTACAAACTGTCTTATTTATGAAAGTATTTTAATGAAATGTGATACATACGCACTTTGAATAAAAGCAAATGTAGCGCCATTTTCCAAATTTGGTTTTGTGCAGGAACCACAGTCATTAAATTTTTAACCGTCTTTAATCTTTAACGACAACAAAGTTGTAGGTCATCTAAAATGGTTTTCTAATAGAATTTGAGCCTAGAAGAATCTACTCAATATTGTTTTTTCCATCTATCACAGGAACATGAATTTGTGTAAGAGTTCGTCTACCGTGGTCCCATTTTGTACACAATGCCCTATACATATTACAGTGGCGTGACCATAGACATATAAGAATGGATGTGGCTACTGAAACGCACTTGTGTTGACAGCACTTATATACAACTCTGTGGTTGACAGTTCAATTCATAACCTTAAAAAAGTATCAAAAATTTGGGCACGTGTTGTTATTTATTACTTGAATTACTGTGTGGGTACATTTGAAGACATCCAAAATGGTTAAAAAGAAAAAGGGTCGTTCCGTAAAGCGCAATCCAAATGTGAATTCTGAACCCGAAGAATTAACACAAGCACCACATTCTTTTATTATTCAAAGAGGTTTAACTCAGGGACATATCATAGAACTGACACGAGACTTTCGGAAATTAATGGAACCTTTTACGGCAAAATCTTTACAAGTAAGTATAAGGGAAGATTACGAGCACATTTAAAATTGTCCATTTAGGAGCACAAGAAGAATACCATTAAGGATTTCGTGTCCGTAGCTGGACTACTTCATGTTACTCACCTTTGCATTTTTTCACAAACGGAAGTGGGCATGTACTTTAAAGTGGGCCGCCTGCCCAGAGGACCGACACTTACCTTTAAGGTGCAGAACTTTTCGTTGGCGAAAGATGTCGTTTCGTCCTTAAAAAAACAACTAGTTGTGGAAAAAGCTTTTAAACACTCTCCGCTTATTATTTTAAATAGTTTTAGTAGTGAGAAGGCTCACATGAAGCTTATGGCGTCGATGTTTCAGAATATGTTTCCAAAGATTAATTTAACCAATGTAAGCGTTAGTTGACATTTGATTTGATTTATATTAGTTATTTGTAGGTAGATTTGAACAAGATAAGGCGTTGCGTCTTATTAAATTATGACCCATCGACTGATTTAATCGATTTCAGACATTATATTATAAAAATTGTGCCTGTGGGAGTTTCGAAAGGTGTCAAAAAGGTTATTCAAGGTAAAATTCCAGATCTTTCCAAATGTGACGATATTTCAGAGTTCTTCACACGGTAGGTTAAAGACTAAATTAACAATTTTTTTAAATTTTAATTGTAGTGCGGGAACTCTTTCGGAAAGTGAAATGGAAGATGATCCCAATAGTCACATTACAGTTAATCAGAAGTTGGTCTCCAGAGGAAACGTGGAACAAGGTCAATCTGCAATTAAGTTGACTGAGCTCGGGCCTCGAATGACTCTGCAACTTATGAAGGTGGAGGACGGTCTCTTGGATGGTATTGTTCTGTACCATCATCTTATACATAAGACGGAAGAAGAGAAATTGGAAATTCAAAGAAAGCGTGACAGTAAACGGTAAGTGAGATCTCCCATTTGAATTTGTGCTAAAGCGTACTTTTAGCAAGTTGAAGGAGAAGAGAAAGAAAATACAGGAGGCGAATAAGAAACGCAAGGAAATCGAAAAGGAGGAATTAAAACAAAAATCTCTGAAAGGAATGCACGCGAACGTGCCTAAAACTACAGAAAAGAATTCCTTGGAAGAAAATGACGATGATGTTCAGTATTATCGTGATGAAGTAGGGGAAGAACCCGACAAAGGTACATTTAATCACAGATTTATCATGTTTTCTTATTTTTACTATTTGCAGATCTATTCCTGGATAATCAACCGAAATCGGACATATCAAAGGTTCTTAAAAAATTCAAAAAGAAGAAAACAAGCTTGGAGAAGAATAAGCAAGTTACAAAGTATGAAGATAAGTTCGAAAAAACCAAGGAGAAATTGGGCCTAAAGGGAAGAACTCAATTTAAACGTAATAAATTCCAAGTTCACAATCGAGTTGTTGGAAAAACCTTTAATAAAAGGTTGAATGTTAAAAGGAAATCAAAATAATATGCTTTTAATCACATTTTTCTTTGTTTTTGTACAAACTGGACATATTGTGACACAATTAAATATGTCAAATTACCTCTCGTTTATTATTATTATTTACACTCGGAGGCGCTATGCCAGATCTTCCTGGGGGCGAGAATTTTTGAAGCATTCCTGGGTGCATCTTTTTCCCAAGCAAACTCCTTTTTTAAGTATTATATGCCTATTGCACAGTATATGCAGTGGTGTTTCTTCTTTGCATTGGTACTCTGTATGGAGCGTCTATTTCAAGGCCCATTATGTGTGGATATTTTCATTTCAACATTGAATAAAAAATTCTGTAAAAAGGGCTGTAACTTTTGAACTAGTAGCCAAATCTTGGAACTGTTTGAAATTATGGGTTCTACAGGCCACATTCTATAAGAACATTTTTTTCCGGGTCGATCTGAGACTTCTCGCCGCCTCACACCTTTCCTTTGATGGGACCCTCTTCCGACATTTCGTTAAGCCGCAGATGTTCTTTGAAGTTTTGACCCTTCCCTTTGATAGACTTCCTCGCCGCCTCACACCTTTCCTTTGATGGGACCCTCTTCCGACATTTCGTTAAGCCGCAGATGTTCTTTGAAGTTTTGACCTTTCCCTTTGATAGACCTCCTCGCCGCCTCACACCTTTCCTTTGATGGGACCCTCTTCCGACATTTCGTTAAGCCGCAGATGTTCTTTGAAGTTTTGACCCTTCCCTTTGATAGACCTTCTCGCCGCCTCACACCTTTCCTTTGATGGGACCCTCTTCCGACATTTCGTTAAGCCGCAGATGTTCTTTGAAGTTTTGACCCTTCCCTTTGATAGACCTCCTCGCCGCCTCACACCTTTCCTTTGATGGGACCCCCTTCCGACATTTCGTTAAGCCGCAGATGTTCTTTGAAGTTTTGACCCTTCCCTTTGATAGACCTCCTCGCCGCCTCACACCTTTCCTTTGATGGGACCCCTCTTCCGACATTTCGATAAGCCGCAGATGTTCTTTGAAGTTTTGACCCTTCCCTTTGATAGACCTCCTTGCCGCCTCACACCTTTCCTTTGATGGACCCCTCTTCCGACATTTCGATAAGCCGCAGATGTTCTTTGAAGTTTTGACCCTTCCCTTTGATGGACCTTCTCGCCGCCTCACACCTTTCCTTTGATGGACCCCTCTTCCGACATTTCGATAAGCCGCAGATGTTCTTTGAAGTTTTGACCCTTCCCTTTGATAGACCTTCTCGCCGCCTCACACCTTTCCTTTGATGGGACCCTCTTCCGACATTTCGTTAAGCCGCAGATGTTCTTTGAAGTTTTGACCCTTCCCTTTGATAGACCTTCTCGCCGCCTCACACCTTTCCTTTGATGGACCCCTCTTCCGACATTTCGATAAGCCGCAGATGTTCTTTGAAGTTTTGACCCTTCCCTTTGATGGACCTCCTCGCCGCCTCACACCTTTCCTTTGATGGACCCCTCTTCCGACATTTCGTTAGGCCGCAGATGTTCTTTGAAGTTTTGACCCTTCCCTTTGATAGACCTCCTCGCCGCCTCACACCTTTCCTTTGATGGGACCCTCTTCCGACATTTCGTTAAGCCGCAGATGTTCTTTGAAGTTCTGACCCTTCCCTTTGATGGACCTCCTCGCCGCCTCACACCTTTCCTTTGATGGAACCCTCTTCCGACATTTCGTTAGGCCGCAGATGTTCTTTGAAGTTTTGACCCTTCCCTTTGATGGACCTCCTCGCCGCCTCACACCTTTCCTTTGATGGAACCCTCTTCCGACATTTCGTTAGGCCGCAGATGTTCTTTGAAGTTTTGACCCTTCCCTTTGATGGACCTCCTCGCCGCCTCACACCTTTCCTTTGATGGAACCCTCTTCCGACATTTCGTTAGGCCGCAGATGTTCTTTGAAGTTTTGACCCTTCCCTTTGATAGACCTCCTCGCCGCCTCACACCTTTCCTTTGATGGACCCCTCTTCCGACAATCCGCCGAGCCGCAAATGTTCTTTGAAGTTTTGACCCTTCCCTTTGATAGACCTTCTCGCCGCCTAACACCTTTCCTTTGATGGACTCCTCTTCCGACAATCCGCCGAGACGCCAATGTTCTTTTAAGTTTTGACCCTTCCCTTTGATAGACCTTCTCGCCGCCTCACACCTTTCCTTTGATGGACCCCTCTTCCGACAATCCGCCGAGTCGCCAATGTTCTTTGAAGTTTTGACCCTTCCCTTTGATAGACCTTCTCGCCGCCTCACACCTTTCCTTTGATGGACCCCTCTTCCGACAATCCGCCGAGCCGCAAATGTTCTTTGAAGTTTTGACCCTTCCCTTTGATAGACCTTCTCGCCGCCTCACACCTTTCCTTTGAATGACCCCTCTTCCGACATTTAAGACCCTGGGGAAATCTCGGTGAACTAAAAAGCGACGGTGGCGCCCTGTAAGACCCTGGGGCAATCTCGATGAACTAAAAAGCGACGGTGGCGCGCTATAAGACCCTGGGGAAATCTCGATGAACTAAAAAGCGACGGTGGCGCGCTATAAGACCCTGGGGAAATCTCGATTAACTAATAAGCGACGGTGGCGCCATTTAATACCCTGGGAAAATCTCGATTAACTAATAAGCGACGGTGGCGCCATTTAATACCTTGGGGAAATCTCGGTGAACTAAAAAGCGACGGTGGCGCCATTTAATACCCTGGGGAAATCTCGATGAATTAAAAAGTTACGGTGGCGCCCTTTAATACCCTGGGGAAATCTCGATAAACTAAAAAGCGACGGTGGCGCCATTTAATACCCTGGGGAAATCTCGATGAACTAAAAAGCGACGGTGGCGCCCTGTAAGACCCTGGGGCAATCTCGATGAACTAAAAAGCGACGGTGGCGCGCTATAAGACCCTGGGGAAATCTCGATGAACTAAAAAGCGACGGTGGCGCGCTATAAGACCCTGGGGAAATCTCGATTAACTAATAAGCGACGGTGGCGCCATTTAATACCCTGGGAAAATCTCGATTAACTAATAAGCGACGGTGGCGCCATTTAATACCTTGGGGAAATCTCGGTGAACTAAAAAGCGACGGTGGCGCCATTTAATACCCTGGGGAAATCTCGATGAATTAAAAAGTTACGGTGGCGCCCTTTAATACCCTGGGGAAATCTCGATAAACTAAAAAGCGACGGTGGCGCCATTTAAGACCCTGGGGAAATCTCGCTGAACAAAAAAGCGACGGTGGCGCCATTTAATACCCTGGAGAAATCTCGATGAACTAAAAAGCTACGGTGGCGCCCTTTAATACCCTGGGGAAATCTCGATAAACTAAAAAGCGACGGTGGCGCCATTTAAGACCCTGGGGAAATCTCGCTGAACAAAAAAGCGACGGTGGCGCCATTTAATACCCTGGAGAAATCTCGATGAACTAAAAAGCTACGGTGGCGCCCTTTAATACCCTGGGGAAATCTCGATAAACTAAAAAGCGACGTTGGCGCCATTTAAGACCCTGGGGAAATTTAGATGAACTAAAAAGCTACGGTGGTGCCCTTTAATACCCTGAGGAAATCTCTGTGAACTAAAAAGCGACGGTGGCGCCATTTAATACCCTGGGGAAATCTCGATAAACTAAAAAGCGACGGTGGCGCCCTTTAAGACCCTGGGGATACAGATCTAACCAGAAATTGCAAATTTTGAACTGCCGTTTAAGGAAAATTGAGTGGGACGTGACTATTAAGTGAATAAATTGAAATGTTCTTTAGAAGGTAATTACGCACGTGGCGTCATCTCATTGGAACTTGTTCAACCATTACCAGAAAATAATTTCGAAAAGTATAGCGATTACCAGTGAGGCCATCTCACGTGTACTAATTACATAAACAAAAGCCCAAAAATCGACTACACCAAAATTTCTCGGGAAAACACTTTTTCTTATTAATTTTGGTGCGTAGAATTCAAAACAATTCGTACTTTTTCGATTAGACTTCTCGATCAAAAGTTATAGACTAGAAACCAATTTCGAAAAAAAATTCAAGGGGCCTAATTCGTGCTTTTTATTTTTGTTAGTGTGAGAGCTTTCGATCACAGATCCAAGGATAGATTCTTTTGGAACACCTTTAGGGGTCTATTCTGTATATTGTCATTAACAAACGATATCGTAATCGTAATGGTAACGATTTGATCTTGAAGGACAGATATATGCCGTATCACTGTCATATGTTATATGTCATACCATTGAATAATAATTCAGATTTATTATTCAATGGTCATACAGAATAGAGAAAGTCGTTGCCGAACGATATTCGCTATGTAGCAACATCGTTATGCGTTAGAGAATAGGCCCCTTAGTTAGTACTTTTGTATCAAAATTCAAAACTGTGCATCAATGCATAGACCATTTCATACATCTACGGATCAACTCTATGTACGGCACTGGATTCATAAATTTTATACGCTCTTTCCCTCCGCATTCCTCTAACTTCTTGTTTTCTTTATGACACTTATTATAACCTTAAATAATAGATGATAGTTCAAAAAGTACACAGAATTTTACTTTTACTGTGAAAAAAGAAAATAGTTAAACCTTAAGACAACTTCTTTAAAAATCTAGACAATGAAGAAATGGACACCCCAACCAGAGACTCCGAAAAACCTGCTATAATTTTTAAACCGTCCACATTCACGCTGCACACTTTCCATGGTCAAGTAAACAATCGAAGAATAGTGTTCCAAGTTATTAAGATGAAAACTTCGACGTTTGTTTGCGTTAATTACGAAGACGAATTTCACTTCAGCAATTTATCTTTGGTATTAAATAGTAATAATAAACCGATAGGCACACAACTTGTTGGTAATCTATCAGAATATGACACCGAAACTATGGCTATGGGCCTGTGTAAGAAATTAAAAAAAAATGTTTACTTAAGTTGTAATTTAGATAATGACCGATTCACTTTACCTGTAGTATTAAAACAACTTATAAATGAAATTAATACTTTTCCTGAGAAATTTTAAATGTATCTCGCATAAATGTTCATGTTTTGATTAAATATAAATACACACATTACGATTTTGTTTATATGTTCAAAAAACTGCTTCCATCTGCTGTTTCCATCATGTGTAGGTAGTTTTAACATCATGAATAGATGTGTCTCATCCAGAATTTCCACTTGCCCTTTTTGAGTACTCGAGACCAATTCATTTTACCTCATTTTCGCCGATAAACCTTTTTCAAGATACAAATTCGACATTACCAATCGCCCTTTGTGAAACACTCTTCACGGTAAAGGGTGGAGGAAAAGTATGGGTCGTGAAATTAATTCCTTTCATTAGAGTACCATGAGAATAAAGTCACTGCCCCCTTTGCCCCCCAATTTTAATAAGGGAAGGAGAGAAGGGCGGTAGCAGGTAGAAAACAGTTGAAACCTTTAAATAAAGCAGGTACCTACTTACCCTAATAAAAGATAACAATTTATGACTTCCCCCTGTCGCCCTCTGATCTTGAAAAGGAGTCGCGAAAAACAGTTATAGTTTGTATAAACCAAATCCTTATTTCGAGGAGACCTTTCATTAGAATACCATGAAGAGTAGAAAGCCCCCCTCTCAATTTCAAAATCTTTACATGGCACTTGCACTGAGGCATGCGTATGCAAAATCTGAGACAAATTGGTTGTCCCCTAGATAAAAGTTATGCACGTACAGGATGCAGGACCATTCCCCTAAAAGTAGTCCGGACAGACGGACAAAACGCAAAAAGGGTTGCATATTTCTTAAACGATTGCCACAAATGCCGCTAGCGTAATTAACGCTGCAATTGATCCGCCCGCGGGTTGTAAAAAAAAGGCAGTGTACAACCTTACTTTTTTACCAAAAATCGACTACACCAAAATTTCTCGGGAAAACACTTTTGCATATTAATTTTGGTGCGTAGAATCTAAATCATTTCGTACTTTTTCGATCAGACTTCTCAATCAAAAGTTATAGACTAGAAACCAATTTCGAAAAAAAATTCAAAGGGCTGTAACTTTTGAACTAGTAGCCCAAACTTGGAACTGTTTGAAATTATGGATTCTACAGGCCACATTCTATAAGAAAATTTTTTTCCGGGTCGATCTGAGACAATTTTTATTTCGGGGTTCAAAAAAAGGCAGTGTATAACCTTCCTTTTTTACCAAAAATCGACTACACCAAAATTTCTCGGGAAAACACTTTTTCTTTTTAATTTGGGTGCGTAGAATCCAAATCAATTCGTACTTTTTCGAGCAGACTTCTCAATCAAAAGTTATAGACTAGAAACCAATTTGAAAAAAATTCAAAGGGCTGTAACTTTTGAACTAGTAGCCCAATCTTGGAACTGTTTGAAATTATGGATTCTACAGGCCACATTCCATAAGGAAATTTTTTTTCATGTCGATCTGAGACAATTTTTATTTCCGGTCAAAAAAAAGGCAGTGTATATATAACCTTCCTTTTTTACCAAAAATCGACTACACCAAAATTACTCGGGAAAACACTTTTTCGTATTAATTTTGGGGCGTAGAATCCAAAACAATTCGTACTTTTTCGATCAGACTTCTTAATCAAAAGTTATAGACTAGAAACCAATTTCGAAAAAAAATTCAAAGGGCTGTAACTTTTGAACTAGTAGCCCAATCTTGGAACTGTTTGAAATTATGGATTCTACAGGCCACATTCTATAAGGAAATTTTTTTTCCTGCCGATCTGAGACAATTTTTATTTCCGGCCAAAAAAAAAGGCACATGCAACACGTATTTTGTTGAAATTTAAATTGTTTCACAGTACCTAAAATTAGGAGAATACCTAAGAATAAATAAATGAAATAGTTTTATTTGGGAATCCTTGGAATGTCGAGATCTACTGTCGTCCTGTCCAAGTTTCTGTCTGCCTGCTCGTGCCACTTGATCGATTTTTCCACACACTAATTCATTATTAATAAATAATACATCTGAATAAAAAACTTATAAACAAAAATAAGTAAAATTAGGATCTTCATAAGAGTTGAACTTTTCCAACGGAAGATAATATGCGATCCCGTTATACAAATTTGAAATTTGCCAACCAGGCCGTAAACCAATACGCAATTTTAATTTTTGCACACCTTTACTGAATATGCTAATACAAAAATTACATTTTTATAGTGTATATAATAAATAGTTTTTACTGTAATTTGTTTGAAGTTTTCTAATCCTATATCAATAAAATATACTCCATTCAATTAAACAACAACATAAGGTTAGCACATCTTACAAACTAAGGCATAATATTCCAGCTAACGCTATTTCAAAATATAAACATCAACAGTTAAACAAAGAAGAATGTTTACCTTGTAACTGACAAAACAGAAAATTTTCTCGAACCAAAAACTCAATCGACATTATAAGCCAAATTCCGGTCACTTCTACAACTCTGCCAGTAATTAGGTAGTTCTAATGACGCAAAAAATACTCAAAAACTAAGGATAAATACGGCTGCAATTCGTTCACCGCACTAAACTAAAAATATACTCGTTTTCCATAAAATAAATTTGTGATACAGCGAGATTAAAAAACTAATTTTGTAATAGGTGAAGGAGCCAAATTGTGCAACTAAATAAAATGTCGCATATTAATGCCCTCACTCCAATACGTTACGTTCCAACGAATGCCTTGAAAAATAATTTCTTTCTGTACAAAGTAACAATTTTTATGAAAATATAAGTGCAAGTGCAAATAATATGCGTACATTTTATTCGTGTTTCTACTTTCTTGAAGAGAATCGAGGGTTCGAAGGTAAGTGGGTGAAGCTGCGTAATTCGTAGGACATATCAATACCATGTGCAGTTGCTGTATCGAGATCCGACTTTCGAAAAATTATCATCCGTATATCCGTATGTAGATAAATTCGACCCGATTTGGAGCTCATAAATCTGAAAAGTAAATATTAGAATCCCAGTTGAACGTTTTTAAAAAATAAACCTTAAGTGAATAAGGTAGCGTAACCACTTAGGTCCCCATTCCGAATTCTTATCCGTACAGCCAGTCGGCATGTATAAAGTACGCTGTCGAATGAATGTCTGCGAGTTCGGAGGCATTTCGTTCAAATCGTACATTATAACAAACATTTTCACGACAGTTCCCAAGGGATTAAACAGTGTCACTTGCAACGTGCCGGATTTGGGAACCTGATATCCCTTTCGTCCCAAATTTATGTGTCCCTGAAAAAGCATCACGGTTAAATAACGGGGTCAAAAGTACTTAGAGAATCTTACCAAATATGGCGAGGACACTTTCTCGTTATCTCCCAAATTGTAAAAGAACACAGTAACTGGAAGTACCAAATGCTCGGGAACGAATGCGCCGCTCGCACCCAATTCGGCGGTAAATCCGTGAACGGTGGAAACGGGCTCGAGGCGTCCATTTAAAACCGATTCCTCAAAAGTTCCTAAACAATTCAAAGTGTAAAATTAGACCGAGAGCCTCTTTGCGCGGTTTTGTACTTACTAAAGTTAATTATCTTAAATTTGAACATTTACAACACTTAATATAACATGAAATAGAACAAAGAAGGAGTTAAACATAGTAAAAGAAGATAAAAATGCATACATTTTCCCGTTTTTATTAATTATGTACCTGATGGGGTAACATTTAATAGCAAGTCGTTCCTAATTAGGACCGCCTCACAGTTAAATATACTCTAATTAAATTGAATGGTTCAGTTGAACCTTCTCTAACAATGCATTTGTTTCCCTGGAAATTAACTGTCTAATAAGTTTAACTGAACCATGAAAAATCAACCCTAAATTTATCCAATAGGTATAATTACTACTTAAAAATAGCAATTAGGACAAACTTCTAGATAAAAATTAACCTATGGCTCTTCCTTTAATAAGTGTTTAAATTCTGTTAATTAAATTTAGTTTGTATCATAAATTTAAAGCGGGTAACTTAGGGAACATCCATTCGAAATTTTTCGCAAGTTGTTATCGGACAAGATTAATTGGTTTTTCGACAAACAACGCCGCGTGCGAGATAAGCGATGCAAGTGTTTCATCAACTCTGGCGTCGTAGAGGAATTTCGAGTGTCGGCGGGTTAATAACGATGTTGAATTTCAAGTGGTTTTTGCCGAGAAGAATGAAGAATAAACGGGACTATCTCGGGTTATTTTAAAAGAGGGCGTAAATGTCTGCACCGTTAATTTTAGTACCGGAAGTCGAGCGGACTAGACAATTTTAAAAAAAGAAACGTAATCGTCTTCATGTTAGTAAAATAATCACTAATTTGGTCATCTTGAACACACAATTCAAAATGTGCTCTCTCACAATCCTTTGCCAGCTTGTTTTACTTTCCCGTTAATGTTACCAATAAGAAAGAATTATTTGTATAAGTACTTCCAAGGCCTTCCATGTATCCTATTATAATTATCTATTACATAGTCTACAATAAACAAATATTCGAAAGTGAAATAAATTTGTAAAATAAAGTAATGTGTTTGTGAGGAAAGTGCTTGGTATAATTGTAAATTTTTAAGCCTTCCATTAGAAGAACGTTTCGAATAAAAAGTCACATTGGAATTGAATCTGAAAGTGTGACCTTGTATTCGGAATTTTTTATGGAAAAAAAGTGGCGAATCTCATTTACGTACCCACTGTCCAAAACACTTTCGTCATATTTATTTGAAACTACGGAAAGTACGTACATTTACGGCAAGTCCTGCCAATGTGTACACTGATAATAAATCGCTGTTGATCGGCGACCGATAAGCCCTGAATCTATTACCAACCTAACAAGTTGTGAGGATGTCGTCTTCTGTAGCACTTGGGTGTCAGTGGCTCCCTCTTAGGAAGCAAATAGAAATCAGGGCTGCATGGCGAAACAATGCTACCGTCACTCTCACTATCCTCGTCGCTCGCCGATGAGAATAGGGCGCTGAAAATTAAATGGACATGTGATACTCGTACACATCCACTCAATTACAGAAAAAATTAGTGCTCATTTGTTTATGTATTCAAAAAATTTTTTTGCTCATGAAAGAACGGCAGTTGATTAAAAAAATGAAAAGAGGGTTTTATAACTATGCCAAGTAACAGACTATTTATGTGTACAGGGTGGCCAACTAAGAATGCGAGGTACTGTATCCGAGAATCTATCCATCGCAGAGGCTTGCGGTAAAAAAATTTATTACTAAAATGGCCAAGAGAAAAACCTGAAAAAAAAATTTTTAAGTTTCTGCAATGACCGCTAGGAGGCGTAACTGCAATCTGGAATTAAAAAAACTGATGTTTCTGTGAATTCCGCTATCATAACAAAAAAATGTCCGGTCTTTGAAGTTGACGATAATCTGAATAATTTTTGTTTGACAATTTTTCCTGTATCTCTAAAAATGAAGTGGTGGGGGGTATTCAAAGGTTTCCGTAAAGAACACTCTGTATATTCGAAATGGCTGAGCCGATTTAAACAAACTCGAGTTAGTTCAAAAGAGCTATTCTTCAGCTACAAATATTATACTATTTGAAGTTTTGTTAGTTTCACATATCACCGCTTGAGGGCTTTTTTCAACATTCCGACAAAAATGGTTAATTTTCTCAAAAAAATTAAATGCATTGGTTCGATTTTTATTCATGAAAAAGTATCTAAATGATGCCTAAACAAACTCGCGAAAACAGCATCTCGAAATCTTGAGATATATATATATATATATATTTATATC